TCAGCTGAATGGACCTGATTGCCTCCTTGGTCAGCCCAGGGCAATTTTTCAAGTTTAGTCCAGTGAGCTTCTGGCACTGAGTCATGATCTTCTTCAGACTCTTGTCAGTCATTCCCTGGCATCCAGCTAGGGAGAGATTGAGAAGCGTTGGCCCCACGCTGCTGACCAGAGTAGACAGTCCACGGTCACTGATCCCGCACATGGACAAGTCCAAGTCTTCAAGAGCTGTGCACGATGAGGCTATGGCTCTCAAGCTGCGGTCGGTCACATTGGAGCAGCCGTCCAGGGAGAGGGATTTCATTGAGTTGCCACAGCAACGTGAAATAGCAACCACGGCTTTGTCTGTAATCTGGGAACAGCCGCTGAGGTCCATGCTTGAGAGCTTCGACCCGCAGCCTGCTACTAGGCTAGTGACGCCCTTGTCCTCTGCGCCCGGAAGACCCGCCAACTCGAGAGACTGGAGGCTGGCGTTGCTGCGACCCAGCATCTCGAGACACCGGCGATCTACACCGTCGCAGTGGCTGATGCACAGACTGGTGAGCTTGGAGCAGGATCCGCTCCATATGCAGCATCCGGCCTTGCACCCCCCGTCATGCTGCTGCTGCTGCTGACCGGCCTCCTCAGAACCCCGCGCACAGGAAAGATTGGAGAGTTTGTGCAGAGTTAGCGACTCGAGGGAACCAGCTGCGTCAAGAGCGTCCTTAATCCCACAGCACGTGACGGCGGGACACTTGGACAAACTGAGACTCTTCACATTGCAACAACCCTCAACGATCGCCCTTAAAGCCTTGTTTGTGAGCTGCTTGCAGCCGGCGAACGTGACGGATTGCAGGCTCTGGAATCCTTTCGGCTGACCAACTCCTCTGAAACCCTCTTCTGTCACCAAAGGTAGATCTGACAGCTTCAGCCACTGAAGACCAGCCACGTGTTCACCCACCAGTTTCAAACCAGCGTCTGTAAGGCCGATCTTCCCTGACAGTCGCAACCGCTTCAGTTCCTTGCAAGAAGATCCCATGAGTTTCAATCCATACTCGTTCACCAGGGGCAAGTCCGACAGCGCTAAAGATACCAAACGCTTCGAGCCGGAGGCCATGGCGGCGAGGAACGCGTTCGACGCGCGAGGACACCCGGAGACGCTGAGATTCAGGAGCTCGTGGCAGCCACGCGCGACCGCGGACAGGCCCTTGTCAGTAACACGCGGACAGTTCATTATATCGAGCCGGCGGAGATCCTTGCAACGGGACGCGAGCATCCGGAGCACCTCGTCGTCGACGTACGGGCAGTTCCAGAGAGTCAGCGACAGCAGCCCGGGACTCGCGCCGACAATCGCCTGAAAGCCGAGATTGGTGAGGCGCGTCGGCGTGGAGATTGCCGAAACCGCTGCGAGACGGTCCCCACGAACCACTAAGCGGCTGAGTCCGCCGCGGCTAGGGAGGCCGATGGCCATCGAGAGAAGCCGCGTGTCCGAGGCATGCCGGCCCTCTAAGCATCGCGACAAGTCACCAGCGGTACTCGGTACAGACTGTTTCTCGGAATCTGCAGCGTCGCAAGTAATTGCCTCTGTTTTCGTCGCCAACGGACCTATGGCGAAGGGAGCAGCACCGTTCCAGCCCAGAAGGCCCTGGATCTGAAGCCAGCGACGGCAGACGAGAGCGCAGGAGCCGCGGTCGTTGGCGTTGGGTAGGAAGGAGAAGATGTGCGACAAGCACTCGTCTGGAAGGTCGTTGGTCAGGTCAACGGACTCCCGGCGGTGAGACGACAGCATGCGCTTCGCCCATGGTAGGTCCTCGGCGATGAACGAATGGGGTGAAGGCTCAGGCGAAGCGTCCTCGATATAATCTGATTCCTCTGAGGCCCAAAAGTTATTCGAGTCTGGGTTAAGGGAGAGCTCTGAACCCCATCGCCTGACTAGTTTCTGTGTGTCGGCTTGATTCCTGTCCTGCTGGACGCGGGAAGAGGCCGCTAGCCAAGAATTGTCGAAACACATTGTGGTATGGCGCTAAGGATGTCAAACAAAATAGTGACAGTCCTAACGACGAAAGTAAGAGCGACCACGTGAAGTCGCTCCGAGAATCGCAATATGTGTTAGCCGACGCAAACTACGATGGAATGATAGCGTTGCTGGAGATTTTAGCTGCTGGACACTTCAATCGGTCCTCCGGGGTGAACAAAAAAACGTTTGGAAGCAAGACAGTGCAGAAGCGGCAGACAATTGCAAGCAGGGGAGTGAACCTATAGCAGGCAATGGCGGCGATGGGCTTTGGGAGGAAGCACGGTGTCAGGCCGATGGATCAGTGACAGGACGCCAGCGCGAAGGGGAGGGTGGTGCACTTGCCAAACAACGGGTTACCAACTTGCCACGGAATCGCTGCACTGCATTTGCAGCTTCTCCTCCTGAAGTTGAGGCTCTGGAGCCATGGAGGCGAAGGGACTGGGACGGAATAGTGGATGAGGTGAGCAGAGAGGAGAATCAGAGAGATTTGGAGAGGAAAGGAGATATCGCCACTTGGAATGGTGAAGGGGTGTTGTGGAGGCTTGTTGCGGGGCGATTGGAGTGGTGGAGAGAGGTGAGGAGGAGCGGGTGGAGGAGAGGAGGGAGGAAAGGACGCCCACGTGCTTCACTCCCCCTCACTAGAGGTGGAGGAGAAAGGAGAAACGCCAGAGGAGGCGAGGCGAGGTGAGGTGAGCTGATACGGGTTGCTTGCTTCTGTCTTGGTTGGTGCTTCCCTGGGACCACCGCGCACAGAGACAAACCGTGCAGGTGTCCTCCTCTGCGTGTCAGCTGGCGCGTTCATGAACTGGATGCTGCTGACGCAGCAGAAACCCACGGCTGGAGAGGGCCACGTTGGATTGACGTGATCAATCGGACGGCCGCCATTGCTGCGAGAATGGTGTCAGTTCTTGCAAAAACGACTGCCCCAATCATCCAAATTCGGGCGAATCTTGTGAATGTGCATGGCGTTCGGGCAGGTAAACTGTGGTGAGTTGGATCTGGTTAGGACTACAAATGTGATGGGATCTGCTTCCACAGGGCGAAATTTTGCATTTCTCAAGCCATTGGCGGTGCCCTCCTTTCCCCACCAAAGCAAATCAACACCGCACTCCATAGAATTTTATCCATACATGCGCGGGATTCTGCAAAGGCAGGCAGTGTTCTCGCAACGAACGGTGGAGCTCTTAAACTACCCGATTATATTTTCCATTGCGTAAACCCTTACGTATTCAAACTCACAGGCAGAACACAAAAGGCAAAGCCGAGATGTGGGAGGAAGGTTGGGGATGGGAAGGGGAAATGAGGATAATTCGTGCTGTAATTACGATTACTTATTGGTGTGTTTTTGTGTGTGCGACCCTTCAAAACAGGTGCATGTTACCATCCAGACTTTTGGGAACATGGTGAACCTTCCTCCGTCAATACGGCCAGCCAGGTTCATGCTCTACCACAACACTAGGGCTAAATTATTACGAACAATCAAAGAGCGCATCTGGACCAAGGAGGTAGCATGCCAGCGCATGAAGTCGCTCTATTCTGATTGGCTAGAACATGTACAGCGCAGCCATCTAATCATAATCTCCTGCAACCTTTCGAATTATGCCCGTTGTGCATCTGGAGACACGATCTTCATTCGAATCTCCACAGAACCGCGGCCATTGAACCTGTCCTCATTCCGGACCACGGTACAGAGCGTTTGTCTACTTTTGCTGCAAGATATTTATCATCTACTGTACCGAAACAATTGTTCCAACCTCCCAATTACTCTGAATACTAAGCCATAACACATAATGTCTGAATTCATTCTTTTAGATGCACATTCAGTGCTTTAGGGTTGAGTTTGCAGGATTTGGTGGATAAATGTCAATACATAGAATTTCACATCACTTCAACAATAGTTTCATTCAACACACATACGGTAGTAAAGCAGTTAAATGGAATCAGTTTTCCGCTGTATATATAACTTTGAGAGATATGATATTTCGTATTCATTTCAGGATATATGATGTAGCTCAGTAAACAGAACCCTGGTATTCGCTTGTCTCCACCATATATACTGATAGCATTTGCGCCTTTCTGGATAAATGAGGTCAGGTTATCGTCTTCCATTGTTTGCAAAGTTCCCTCTATCAAAAGGCCTCTACCGCGAATACAAGTTTGAATTGCATTCGCGCGCTCAAACATTTGAGGAAGTCAGGTTGGCCGTACGATGTGATGGGCGGTTCGTCGGTGAGAGATCTTGAAAGCTCTTGACATAGCGGCGTGACCGCTGTTGAGGATTTGGCCAATTCGAGCCAAAACTTGTTGGTCTTGCAACCCGTTGCAAGCTCATGGAGGCGCCAAACCACTGACGGCTAAGATTTCTCCAGTCATATGAATTCTAGGTCTTGACGGCTGCGATGCCCTTCCGAAATTTGAATTCCTTTCAACCAAGTCCATCAATCACCGTTTGCTCCTCATTCTTCCATCGCCTTTCAACCAGCTCGTTTCTCGGGGGCACTCCACTCCACAGCTCCTCTCCTCCACTCGACCAGAGCCGTCCCATTTCGCCGACCAGCGGCACCCATCGGCCACAAGAGGATCTACTCGCACCATAATGATTCAGAAAACAAGACATTCGAAGCAGTGCAATCAGCAAAATAGTTGTTTTTCTCAATGCGAGCTTATGGTGCGAACTATGGACAAGGCGCTCTCGACAAACTAAGCTAGAACTATTAGTGCGTTGTGCTAATTCACCTCCATTAGCTATTCAGTATCTTATCGAACTTATCATAGTCTTTCCTAAGAGCGAAGAGGGCCAGGAATGATCCATTTTAGGTGCTAGCTTGTACGAGCCCATGACGTAAGCTAGAACGATACAGTCATGTATACAGCTGATGATACCTCGCCGTCACCGCGGCGACGACGACCGTTTAAGGTCACCACAGCGCCGTTAGCGGCCGTTCCCCCTGAAAAAAGGCGGAGGCGTACGGTCGGCGTAACGTTACCACACCGTGAGATCGTAACAATGTCACCACTCGCTTCTTCTCCGACTGCAAGGCTACTCGGCTCTGGACGAAACGGCGCCGCGGCAATTCTTCTGTCCCTAGGTGCGTGGCTACACAAAGCGTCGAACCATGACTTGACTACTATATTTGAGTCTCGAATCCGATTGTCCTACGTGCACGCAACTGCCCTTCAACGTGTCAGAGGACAGTCACTTCAGATAGATTCGCACCCCAGCACCGCCCTTGACCGAGCCTTTTTTCTCCCAAAGAGAGGTCTCACCGTTTCCTGCTCCTCCAGATTCTTTAGTCCCTCGTTCCTCCTACTTTGTTCCTTGGTTCCCACGCGGCTTCTACTTGTTTCCGTCCAGTCTGCTCTTTCAATGTTTCCAATCTCCCACCAACACGTTCAATTCATCCCCTTGACATCGTCTCCTCTCCGTCCCCCTTCTCGCTTTTCATCCCTCCAACCACCACCCCAACAGTGCTTCTTCTTGCAACACCGATTACCACACCCCCACAAGCCGCTGCGACCGCTGTTTCCGCTGGAAACTCGAGGACCGCCGCGGCAGCGCTCCTAGCACGATCCGCAATCCCCGGGCCAACACCCATCGCCAACATCCCCCTATTCCCCGCCGCCTCCCCCGCCACCGCCATAAACGCAGGAGCTGGCGGGAGTGACGTCACTCATCCCGCTTCCGCTGCCGCCTCCCCCTCCGCCTCCCCCATTACAGCTTCCGCTGCTCCTCACATACCATCCGCCCCCGCCGGCACTTCTTCAGCCATCCTTCCGCTTCCGCTTACCGCCATAGTCCCCGCCAAGAAAGCCGCTACAGCTTCGGCTGTAGCGCCCGCGCCTGCGCAGGGCTCCATGTCACCGCCGCCCAAATCCCCTCCCGCCATGACTCGTGGCGGAACGGCAGGCGCGGTCAGCTTGGAGCGCGCACCGGTAGGGGCGGAGATTCTTCTGAACGCCGTGAAGGCCGCGGGGCTGCGCGCGCGCGCGAGCGCGTGCGTGTTTGATGCTGAGAAGCGGACATTCGAGCTGGTGACGGGGCTGAGTACACTGTAAGTGGAATGCGCCTGAAGGGGATCCGTTACCTCGTATTATAAGCGCCTACTTGACGTTTAAAAACAGTCATCTGTCCCATTAATAATATAACAGCCCAGCGCCACCTCAGGCAACTTTCTGAAACCGCCTATGTCGTAAGTGACGGAACGTTATCGTTTTGTTTCTCTCATTTATTACTTTTCTCGTTTTTTCAAACGTTCTCTTTTGCATCCGTTTCCGATTCTTCGCCTGCTCGCAGAATTGCGCTCAACGCGACGGACGCGTGGGCGCCTCCCATAGGTCGGAAGGTGCTGACGAACGACTGCCAATTCTTGATTGACGCCACGTGTCAGGATGTCACGCCCACTGGCGGATGCGACGACCACAACGAATGCACGACTGATACGTGTGTGCCTGCCGACCCAGCCACATGTTTGCCTTATCCTGACTGCCTCTTAGCGGGCCCGTCCTGTTCCTATACCGCGTCCCCCAGTAGTGAAACGAACCCAGCTTGCATCGCGCCGCCAACTCCCCCGTCTGCGCCTAAGGGCTCAGTTTCGTCCGCTTCCACCAATGTATCCGCGGGCGGTGGCGGAAGCGGGGACGAGGGGGAAGACGGCGGAAGCGGAGAAGGCGAGGGGAAAGACGGGGAAGGGGGGAAGAACGCGGGAAGTGCGGATTCGGATGCGGAGGGGGGAGAGAAGGGGGCGAGCGGGGAAGGGGAGCAAAGCGGCTCAGACGACACGTCTGCTTCGGTTGGCGGCGATGCTTCTAACGAGGATGATACCGGAGATAATAACGAGGACGGGTCAGACGACACTATCGAGATCGTGGGAACCATTCCGCCGCCTCGCAGCGCGTGCATCTTCATCCCCCAAAAGAACCGCTTCATGATCCGCTTAAAGAACCGCTTCCGCGTCCGCCTCTCCGCAAGCGACGCGTGGGCGCCGCGGCCCGGGCAAGTCGCCATGACCGGTAATTGCCGGTTTATAATCGACTCGGCGTGCGGGGTGGTGGGGAGGCCGGGGGGGTGCGATGACGGGGACGAATGCACGGACGATTACTGTCTATGGCAGGGCGGGAATAACACTATCGGGAGCTGCACGCCCTTCCCGTCGTGCTTCTATGAGAGCGCGCGGTGCGAGAGGCGGGTGAAGGAGGAGTGCGTGGGGGGAGTGGAGGGAGGAGCAGGGGGAGGGGGAGCGGGAGGGGGGCAAGTGGGGGATGGGGGGTTCGCGGCGGGTGGCGGAAAGGGGATTCGGACGGTGACTAGTGCCGGTGCTGCCGTGACTGGCGGAGCTGACGGCGCTGGCGGCGCTGACGGCGGCGATGGTGGTGACAGCGGGAGTGGCACAGGGGCGGGTGTGACTAAAGCTAATGGAAACAGCACAGCCACTGACGGAAAGGAGAGCGGCAGCAGTAATGGCCGCGGCGATGGCAGCGGCGATGGCGGCGGCGATGGCAGCGGCGATGGCGGCGGCGATGGCGGCGGCGATGGCGGCGGCATGAGCACGGAGGAGATAGAGGTGTTGGAGGAAGAAGCACTAGCGCAGCGGCAGGCGCACGGGCAAGTGGCGCAGCAAGATCCCCCTGCTGACCAGGACGATTTAACAGGCTCGGCAGAATCAGGCTCGGAAGATCCGGACCTCCTCGCCCCGCGCCTGCGCGCGCCCCTCCCCCGCCCCGCGTGCCTGTTCCGCCCGAAGCAGGGCCTGTTCGTCCGCGTGGAGGGCTGGCCGTTCTCCGCGCGCCTCTCCCGCGCGGACGCGTGGGCGCCGCCCCCCGCCGCCACGACTCTCTCCGGCGACTGCCGCTTCGAGCTCGACTCGTTCTGCTCGGTCGTGTCGCGCGTCGCGCGCGGGTGCGACGACGGCGACGCGTGCACGCTCGACACGTGCGCGTGGGCGGGGCGCGCGAACCGCGTCGGCAGCTGCGAGCCGTTCCCCTCGTGCTTCTACTCCTCCGCGTTCTGCGTGCACACGGACCTCTGCGGAAGGCCGGGGGGAAACGACACGCGCGGGCGGGGAGGGGTGGTGAAAACAATGGTGGGTGGTGGGGGCGTGGGAGGAGTCTCGGATGCGGGGAGCGGTGGTGGTGCTGCTGCTGACGGGACTGACGCCGATGCTGACGGTGACGGTGACAGTACTGATGCTGACGGTGACGCTGATACCAATGCTGATGCGGATGGTGATGGTGATGGGGGTGCTGAGGTGAACGACCCTTACTCCGACCCTTCAGATCAGGAATGGCCGAACTTCCAGATCTACCCCCCAGCCAAAACAGGCTCGGTGGTGGAAGCTTCACAGAACCTTTCCTCAGGCGCAGAGGGGGGAATCTCCAGCGCAACCGCCCCGACCACCACGCAAGACGTGCTGCGCACGCTTTCGCAGCCTATCCCCTTTACAGACACCTCCGTTTCAGGATCTTTCAACGTGTACCATTTCGGCGCCCTGGGCGACGGGCAGAACGACGATGGCGAGGCTATCGAGACAGCTTTTAACGAAGCATGCAAGTGGGCGCGGCAGAACAACGCCAAAGCCACCGTCACCATTCCCGCTGGAGCTGATTTCCTCACCACCCCCATGGTATTCTCGGGGCCCTGTGGGCCAGGTGTCATCTTCTTATTGGACGGGAGGATTTTGGCTCCAAACATGCCCGTTTCTTCCTACCAATCGGCTTACAGCGTGGTGGCACATCTTTTTTTCGACCATGTGACCGGGCTGACCATGACGTCGTCCGGGCAGGGCAGGCAGGCAGGGAGTTTTGACGGGCAGGGGCTGGAGACGTGGCGGGAACATTTGTCGCTTGGGCAGCCCGACTCATATGCCCGACCAAAGGGATTTATGTTCCAAAAGTGTGATAATCTCGTTATAGAGCAAATCACTGTGCGCAACCCGCCTGAGATGCACATCAGCATTCAGGAGTGCAACAACGTGATTGTACAGGAGGTGACTGCAATGAGTCCGTACAACAGCCCTGGCACTGACGGACTGCACCTGGCCGCGGCGACGAATGTGATTATAAGGAACTGCAGGATGCACACGGGCGGCAACGGCATCGCTATAGTGGATAAGAGCGCCAACATCAGCATCAGCCATGTGTTCAGCTCTGCTGGCCGTGGCATCAGGTGAGAGCAGAGGGGAGGGTTGGGGGGATGGGTGAGCATGAATGCTTGTGGGTATGAGTGATGCTTGTGGGTATGAACACTGGTGGATAAAAGCGCCAACATCAGCATCAGCCATGTGTTCAGCTCGGCTGGCCGCGGCATCAGGTGAGGGCAGGGAGAGGGATGGGGGAAGAAAAAAACTGGTTCTCTGTGTGTTTCAGTAGTATGAGTAGACATGCCACTCTCCTTCTTACACCCTCTCCTCCCCGACCCTTCACCTCGTTCACCAGCCAGGTTTCTTGACCTCTCTCACCCTCCCATCACTGCACCCTCTCCTTCCTTCACAACCACTCCCCCCCTCCATTCCCCTACCACTTCTCATCCTCTGCACTCAGTACCACACCGCCCCTCACATTCTCCTCCCCGGTCTGACTCCCACCAACCATCCCTCATTTCGCCTCTCACCAATCCCACCTTCCCCAAATCTACCTTCCCCAATTCCAACTTTCTTCAATCTCGCAATTCTCTCCCCTCCCTCTCCACCCCCCAGCATCTTCAATCTCGGTCGGGACCACTTCACGGCGTGTGTAACGAACGTGACTGTAAAGAACGCGACGGTGTACGGAGGGAGGAATGCGCTGCGCATAAGCACGTTCCAGGGCGGCAGGGGGTGCGTCTCCAACGTGCACTTTGCTGACGTGGAGGTCATCGAGACGACCGAACCAATCAAAATCGACCAGGTCAGCGGATTCTCCTTAGTGTCTCAAGACCGCACTCAAGTCTGTCTGGCCCCACAGGTGGCCGTCTTGTTGTTGCATCTTTCCCTTCCACATCTCATCTCTTCACCCTTCACCTCTCCACCCGTTGCCAGACCCGATGCAGCGACGGCTCCTACAGCTGCAGCAGCAGCATTGATGCTGACGACAGTGACAGTGACGATGCTGGTAACGCGGTTACCACCAGCAGCAGCACTAGCAACAGCAGTGGCGACGCAGTGGCGATTACCAACGTGTCGTTTCGCAACATCTACGGCACGAGCAACCACACGCACGGGATCTACATCCGCTGCAGTGACACCGTGCCATGTGTCGGCGTCTCATTCGCCGACATCAACATCACCCCCAGCAGGAGCCTGCTCAAGGCCCGGGCGGCGGAGACTCAGCTACAGCCGGAGACGCAGCTACAGCCGGTGATGGAAAACGTACTGGTGACGCCTGGAAGCAGCATAAAGTCTCCCTTGGGAATACCGGAGCTGAAAAAGGCGGTTACGGCGGAGGAGGAGGGGAGGATACGCGCGATGATGAGTGTGTGTGAGTACCCCTTCCGTGTGGTTGATTTGAATGCTATCCTGGCTCCTTTTCGCCAGGCTGGCGCAAAGATCCAATCGCAAGGTGACACGTCAGATGGAGGTGAGGGAGAGAGAGGGGTTGGGGAGGAGGGAGGGGAGGAGGGGTCTGGGCTGACTGCGGTGGAGAGTGGGAGTGGTGAGGGTGGTGGTAATGACGGGAGTGCGGGGAGTGATAGTAGCGGGAGTGATGGTAGCGGGGATGATAGTAGCGGGAGTGATAGTAACGGGGGTGATGCTAGCGGGAGCGATAGCAGTGGGAGTGACAGTGGAGGGAGTGATAGCAGCGGTAGTGATAGCAGCGGTAGTGATAGCAGCGGTAGTGATAGCAGCGGGAGTGATAGCAGCGGGAGTGATAGCAGCGGGAGTGATAGCAGCGGGAGTGATAGCAGCGGGAGTGATAGCAGCGGGAGTGATAGCAGCGGGAGTGATAGCAGCGGGAGTGATAGCAGCGGGAGTGATAGCAGCGGGAGTGATAGCAGCGGGAGTGATAGCAGCGGGAGTGATAGCAGCGGGAGTGATAGCAGCGGGAGTGATAGCAATGGGGGTGATAGCAGTGGGGGTGATAGTAGCGGGAGTGCAGGAAGCGAGGGTGAGGGCAAGGAGGGTGCAGCATCCAGCAAGCAGGAGGAGGAGAAGAAGAGTAGGGAGGAGACACTGAAGCGAGTGAGGGAGACGAAGAGTAAGAGGGAGGCACTGCGACAAAAGTGGGTAGAGGCAAGGAGGAAGCGAGGGGGAGGGGTGGCCAAGCCGACCCAGGTGGATGGAGATGGGGCTAAGGCAGCGGAAGGAAGCGGAGGAGGGAGTGAGGGAGGAGGGGAGCAAGGGGGCCAGGGCAGCAGTGGAGGCGAGTCAAGCGGCTCTAACACCCCCAGTGGGGGTGGTGATGATGGTGGTTCATCTCAGGAGCACAGTGGGGCAGGTGGGTCGACTGACGGAGGAAAGGAAGATGGCAGCCCTAGTGCTGGTGGTGATGGTGCTGATGGTGCTGGTGAATCTGGATCAGGAGAAGGAGAGCAAGGCGGGGACAGCAGTGCGGATGGTCAAGGGGGGAAAGGGGCGGAGGGAGGAGGGGAGAATGGAGGAAACGAGGGTGCAGGGGACCAAGGGAGTGATGGCAGTTTTGAAAATAGCAGTGGTGATGGTGGTAGTGGCGGTGATAGTGCCGGTGATGGTGCTGGTGATGGTGGTGGTGATAGTGCAGATGATAGTAACGGTGATAGTAACAGTGATAGTAACGGTGATAGTGCAGGTGATAGTAACGGTGATAGTAACAGTGATAGTGCAGGTGATAGTGCAGGAGGAGGAGGAGGGGGGGGAGGAGCAGGAGGAAGAGAGGGGGGAGCAGGAGGAGGAAGAGGGGGAGGAGGAGGAGGGAGAGGAGGAGGGGGAGGAGGAGGAGGGGGAGGAGGAGGAGGGGGAGGAGGAGGAGGGGGAGGAGGAGGAGGGGGAGGAGGAGGAGGGGGAGGAGGAGGAGGGGGAGGAGGAGGAGGGGGAGGAGGAGGAGGGGGAGGAGGAGGAGGGGGAGGAGGAGGAGGGGGAGGAGGAGGAGGGGGAGGAGGAGGAGGGGGGGGAGGAGGAGGGGGAGGAGGAGGAGGGGGGGGAGGAGCAGGAGGAGGGGGGGGAGGGGGAGGAGGGGGGGGAGACTGGGGTGAGACCCCCCCAGCGGACTACACCGCGGACGACACCAGTGACGACACCAGCAGTGGAGGTGATTATAACGCGGATGGAGGAGCAGGTGGGGGAGAGGGAGGAGGGGGTTCTAATGGGTCGGGAATAGATCCGTACGACCCTCTAGGAGGCTCATCAGGGTCTGGTGGGAATGGTGGGAACGGTGGGAGTGGAGGCAATAGTGGTTATGGTGGTGGTGGTGGCAGTGGTGGCAGCAGCAGCGGGCAAGGGAGCAGCAACGGCGGCAGCAACGGGAATGTAAGGGATGGAATATCCTTGGGAAGTCGCACCAGCAGGAGTGGCACCGGCAGCACTGGCAGCAGTGGGGGGAATAGGAGTCCCGAGGAGGTTGCTGGGGCCACTGGAGGTGGCACTGGTGGTGGTGGCACAGGCAGGTACGGCGGGAGCAAAAGGCCTGATTACTCCTCGCGTGAGTCTGCTTCTGAATCTTCAGGTGGAGTTTCAGGTGATTCCTCAGGTGGATCTTCTGGGGAAGGCTCCTCAGGAGACCCAGCACCGGAAATTGACCCGTATGATCCGCTAGCTTCTGCTGAAAAGGGGGCGACAGGAGGCGGAGGAGGAGGAAGAGGGGGGAGCAGGAATGGTGATGGCACTGCGAGTGGCAGTAGCAGCGATGACACCGGCTCAAGCAGTCGTGGTGCAGGCAGGGGTAGCAGCAGCGGAGGGGGGAGCTTGAGCGTTGGGGGAAGCAGCCGCAGCAGCAGCAGCAGCGGCAACAGTGGCCGTAGCAGCGGCGGGAGCAGCAGTGGCGGCAGCAGTGGCGGCAGCAGCGGCAGCAGTGATGGGAACGCGTTGCTGGATGGGGGTGGCGGCAACAGGCTCATAGAAGGCGGGGGCAGCCGCAGCAGCAGCGGCAGTGGCGGTAGGACAGGTGGGTACAGCAGTGCGGGGAGCAACGGGTACTATGGGAGTGGGGGCGGCAGCTGGAGAGGCAGAGGCATGCCGAATGACCCGTGGCGAGGTGCTGGGGGAGGGAACACGCTGGGTGGTGGAGGGAGTAGTGGGAGTAAGGGCAGCAGCGGGGGGAAGAGTGCGAGTGGGGTGCAGAAGGCTGGGAAGAGCAGTGGGAGTAGCACTAGTGACAGCAGCAGCGACAGCAGCAGCAGTGGTGGTGAGGACAAGGGGGGAAGCAATGGGGGTGAGAGCAGTGGGGGCGAGGGCAGTGGAGGCGAGAGCAGTGCAGGCACCGCAGGGATGAAAGGGAGGGATCAGCACGGGGGGATAGGCTCGAACAAGGTCGGCCCGATGCCAGATGATAAATCATCTGGGGGGAGGCACAAGAGCCCCAGCTCTGCTCCCAGCAGCAGTGGTAAATCTTCCAGCTCCTCCCCTCCTGCGCCTGATGCGGAATCTGAAGGAGCGCAAGGGGATGGTGGGAGCGAATCAGGTGGTGACACGTCGGATGGTGGTGATGCTGGTGGGGAGGGCGAGGGCAGTAGCAGCGGTGGGGACAGTGGTGGGGGCAGTGGCAGTGGCAGTGGAGGCGGGTTTGTGGGGCACAAGGAGAGGCAGGAGAAGGCGAGGCAGGAGAAGGAGCGGCAGGGGCAGCACCTGGGGTACAAGGAGCGAGGGGGTGCTGGGGAGACTCCTCCTTCGGGCGGATCTAGTGATAAGAACAGTGGTGACAGTAACAGCAGTGACAGTAGCAGCAGTGATAGCAACGGAGGCGACAGTGGCAGCAGCAGCAGCGGTAGTAACAGTAAGAGCAGTGATGGCAGTGAGAGTGATAATGGTGGCAGTGGTGATTCTGGGTCAGGAGAAAGTGGAGACAGCAGCAGCAGCAGCAGCAGCAGCAGCAGCAGCAGCAGCAGCAGCAGCAGCAGCAGCAGCAGCAGCAGCAGTGGTGGCACTACCGAACCTGGAGGCGGTGAGAGTGAGGCAGAGAAGGCTGGTAGCAGTGACAGCAGCAGCAACAGCAACAGCAGCAGCAGCAGCAGCAGCAGCGGCGGCGGCGGTGGTGGCGACGGTGATGTTAGCGGTCCCCAGTCAACCCAGAGCAGCAGTAGCAGCAGCATTGGTGCAGCAGCAAAGAAGCACGGCAAGAAGAGAGGAGGCAAGGGTAGTGAGGGAGGAGAAGGGAGCGTATGGTGGGACGCCATCAGCAAGGTGGGGGCGCCGAAGAAGGGGAAGAAGAAGGGAGGAGAAGGGAAGACGGCGAAAAAGGATGGTGGGGGAGGGAACGTGCCAGTGATAGGAGGGGTGGGAGGAGGAGGGGGAGGCGGAGAGTTGTCTAACAGGACCAGCTCCTCTCTGAATTCCTCTTCGAGTTCCTCATCAGATTCCTCCTCTGACTCCTCTTCTAATTCCTCATCTGACTCCTCTTCTAATTCCTCCTCTGACTCCTCTTTTGACTCCTCTTCAAGCTCCTCGTCAGATTCCTCATCCAACTCCTCTTCCAGTTCCTCCTCGGATTCTGGAAAGGCGGATTCGTCAGGTGATGAGGCTGCTTCAGAGGGTGGTTCTTCGGATGCGGCAGGGGGCACAGAAGGTGCTGGTTCGGGGGAGGCCGGGGGGGAGGGGACGGGTGGAAAGAATGAGACTGTGGACGCGGGTGGGGAGAAGGGGGGCGACGCAGGCGAGAAGGGCTCAGGAGAGGGAGGCTCAGGAGAGGGGGAGATTGAACAGGAGGGGGGAAAGGGGGGTGGTGAGGGAGGGAGGGCGGGAGGAGAGGAGGCATCACAGGATGGGCAAGGGGACAAGGGGACGGGTGGGACAGAAAAAAGCACGGCAGAGGAAGGGGGTGGTGAACAGGTGAAGGAAGAGCAAGCAAAGAACACCACGAGCAGTGGGGAGGTGAAGAGCGGAGGAGGAGCAGATCCGCCCACCGGGAGCAGTGAGGGGAAGGTGCCAAGTGATGGAGGGGCATCCCCCACCGGGAGCAGTGAGACTGACTCTAGTGGGGAGGATGGAGCGAACTCTGGTGGGGAGGGTGCAAAAAACACCACGAGCAGTGAGAAGGTGAAAAGTGGAGGAGGAGCGGACCCGCCCACGAGCAGTAGCAGTGAAGAGAAGGTGACTGGAGGGGCATCCTCCACTGGAAGCAGTGAGGCTGACTCAAGTGGGGAGGATGGAACGAAGTCTGGTGGGGAGGGTGCAACTTCGGACAGCTCAGGCACCAGTTCTGCCAGCTCAGACGCCAGTTCTTCCAGCTCAGACGCCAGTTCTGCCAGCTCAGACGCCAGTTCTGCCAGCTCAGACACCAATTCTGGCAGCTCAGACTCGAACTCAGAGACTGACAAGTTAGGCAATAGCTATGACAGTCTGGATAAATCTAACAACACAGACACCAGTTCTGACGACTCAGGCACCAGCTCTGACAGCTCAGAGTCACAATCTGACAGCTCAGAGTCACAATCTGACAGCTCAGAGTCACAATCTGACAGCTCAGAGTCGCAGTCTGACAGCTCAGAGTCGCAGTCTGACAGCTCAGAGTCGCAATCTGACAGCTCAGAGTCGCAATCTGACAGCTCAGACACAGAAGCTCCTGGAGAGGAGAGCAGCAATACGGATGGTGATGGAAGCAATGCGGGTGCGCCCTCTGTTGGGGATGGTGGGGATGGAGACGGGGGAGGTGAGGGGAGCAGTGCGGCAGCACCATCAGCACCATCAGCACCATCAGCACCATCAGCGCCATCAGCACCATCAGCAGCATTGGCAGAAGGAGTGGGAAGCGGTGACAGCACTGTCGGTGGAACGGAGGAAGGGGGAGGAGGGGATGTGCAAGGTGACGCAGTGAAGGGCACAGCACCATCAGCAGATGGGGAGGAGGGTGCTGGGGCGCCAGCATCTGATGCGAAGGAGGCTGCAACGACAGCAAAAGCACCAGCATCAACACCACCACCAGCATCACCGGCACCACCATCAACACCAGCTCCAGCTGCAAAGCCAGCAGGAAGTGAGGAGAACTCGTCCTCACCACCAGCAGCATCAGCAACTGTGCCATTACCATCCGCACCACCATCAGCAAAACCACCAGCAGCAGCAACACCACCAACAGGGGAACCAGCAGCACAGGCGCTGCCATCAGCAGCAGCAGCAGCACCCCCAGCAACCTCCACTGCAAACCCACTCACTTCCACTTCTCCTACCCCTCCTCCCAAAAAGAAGAAGAAACAAAGCTCCCAGTGGGTGTGGTGGCCGTTTGGGAACGGACAAGGCGGGGTGAAGAGTGACGTGGATGCGCTGCTGCCTCACGGCTGGGGTGGTGCAGCAGCGAGTGGAGGAGGGACGGGGAGTGGGAGGAGGGAGAGGCTGTACAGACCAGCAGTGCAGCCTAATACAGTTGTGATTGGGGGAGGAGGGACCGGCCAGGGAAGTACAGTTGCTGCCTCAGCTGACCTGGCCCCATCTGGTTCCTCCTCCTCCCACTCTTCAGGTGGCGTGCGCATAGTCACTCCTGGAGTTGAGCCGACATACAGTGCGGGGGACATGGTATAATGTGTGAGTCAAGTATGGAGCACATGCCTTTTAGAGGATGATTTAGGATGTGGTATGAGTTGACTTCAGGATGCCTGCTACTCTGGTAGATATTTGACTAGCTGATTGTGTGAAGATGCTCTTCTTGTCTTGCTGACAATTGTGTCAAGAGCTTGCAAGTGTTTCCATCCCCATCGAAGCTGAAGAACTTTTATACTAATGTTAGGCAAACAGAACATTGCAAATCAGGTGACTGAGAAGCCACAACAGAAGCCTGAAGAGGGACAAACTTGTATTCACCCCAAAACCAACAGACTTAAAAAGGATTGGCAGCACTACTGTGCTGCCATAAAGGAGGGTTAAGGCAGCTGCCGAGGTGACACGCACCCTCTTGCAGTTATGACCATCGCTCAGTAAAGAGGCGTCTTGTAGATGAGTGCATAAACACGTCTCTTCCACTTCAGTCACCCCTGCAGTGTAAGTGAACTCCGAGACCCCAAACAAATCACAAATCTCAAGCAAAACCCAACCAAAATCACTAAAAAAAAGAGGCAAGCCCCTCAATAGCCCTGCAGATCTTCCCGGGCGCTCATACAACCAGGTCCTGCCCCAACGTTATTCGCATTGCACATGGCAAACGAAGGAGCAGCAGCGAAGGAAGGAGGCACAGCTGAGTCCAGCATGGGGAGGACGGGAGTTGCCAGGGGCTGGCAGTCCAGAGCCAGGAACGAGGTGTATCCTTCGGCGTCCTCATCCTCCTCATGTTCCATCCCCTGCCAGTCCACCACCTCATCCTCACACAAAACCCCTGCGGACTCTTGCGAGTGGCTGGAGTTCCAGCAACCTTCAGGTCCGGATTCTGTGACGTGGGATACAGGCGAGGGGACGATGGAGGGCTGGCAGTAGCCGAGAGCTCCATAGGATGCAGGTGTCGACTGAGTGGCAGTTGCAGGCGTCTGAAGCATAGGTGGAGGCATGGCGTAAGGAACAGGTGAAAGGCTGCTGTGCACGCTGGGAACGCTGGGAAGCATTCCATCAGCTACCAGAGGATCGACTACGAGTGACCCTGTATCCACGCACCCGATACTGGGAGTACTGACAAATGCGGAACCTACACCCATCTGTACTGGATAACCACCGTAGAAAGTCCCGGCCTGCACGACTTCCTGTTGCTGCTGCTGCTGCTGTTGCAGTTGCTGCTGAAGAACCAGCTTCTGCTGCTGCTTCCGTAACCGCCGTCGAATACGCGCCCTCTCCTTCTCCTCCTCAGTCTTCTCCCTCTTAGGCTTCTTACCGTAACATGTGCTACCGTCTTGAATTTGCTTCTTAGGAGCCCGTGACGGAGCCGGCGGTGCAACAACGACTTCCAGGTTAACATTTGACGGAGCTCCTCCATCGACCACTCCCACATCTTGCTGCTTCCGCATCTCCACGATCTTCCGGTGAGAATTGGAGTGCTTCTCCGGCTGGAATTCCGGACTGCTAGCCGGCCTGTATTCCGGACACAACCGTCCGGACTTGTACCTCACTCCACAGGCGTTGCAGAGGGACTTGGGACCCATTGGGCCTGCCCGCCACTGAGGGGTGGTCGTTGACGAGCAATGGGTGCATCGGCGAATGTTGCCATCCTTGTCCTTTCCATCGGGACTTCCTTGAGGCTTACGCTTCTTGGATGGTTGCTTGGCTACAGAGTCTACTTGGTTCGTCGAAGCTGATCGAGGCAAATCAGTTCCACTGAGGGTAAGTGAGCTAATGTCCGAGGTCGCAGGATCAGGGCCACCGATTAAACCCCTGGTTTGAGGTTCAAGCGTGGGAGGAACAGAGTTGAGCGGACCAAGCGGCGGAGTTGTGCAGAAATTCCTTTCGGAAAATCCACCAATTCGTGCGTCTTCAATCTCTCCCGTAGGCCCTTCATAACAATCGTCGTACTCGTCACTGCTGCCAACCCCAGCGTCTTCCGGAACCACATGCGAGATTACGTCCGTCGACCAGACCCGCTTCATAATCCGCATGCGCTTGCTGCGGGATCTGGAGGAGAGAGCACACGAATCTGCCGGATCGAGATCGGCATTCCCCAATGAGAGATTCGGGGTTTCGTACTCGACAAGAGCTGGCTCGCCAAGTCCTTCGAATGGCCGGCCAGGAGACAACCGCACGGTAAGAACTGAAACGGGACTGCCTTCCCGGTGAGATCCAGTGGAAGAATGGAACCGCTTGTGATGTGGTGGTGATTGCAACGGCCATGACGCTTTGACGCAGGGGGTCTCGGGCGACGAGGCGTTGACCTCCTGGATTCTCTCAGTAACGACTGGCGGGGCTGCAGCCTCAGACAATGAAGATTCCTGCAGCATATAACAAGATGGATAACTTTAGATGGTTTTAAGAATGATCGACCAAATCAGACCATTAAAACAGAATATTAAGCGGTGTCCGATGGGCAGTTATTGATCAAATACTAACCTCGGAATCCCAAGGAGGGAGAGGAGTCGGAACTTCGTTCATGGGCCGGATATCCACAGTCGCAGGCGCCAGGAGGTTCAGTTGATTGATGGGACCAGCGATGTCATCGTCGGCGATAGCCAATATGTCATCCTCAAGCTGCAGCATGCTCTCGTCCAAGCACAGAATGTCCATGAAATCACCTTCCGCCTCATTCTGGAAATCATCCTGCTCAGCGAAAGCCAGAGAAGGAACGGACATTTGATTAGCGACGACAGATCGTGATTGATTTGGGATTGTGTGTGAATTCGTTTCATAAGGTTTTCAACCTTGGTTCCCACACCACAGCACGAATCTGAGTGAAACAATAACTTACAAGTGAGATATGGCAGTGCTCAGCGTCCTCGGCAATAACTTCGTCGCAATTTTGAAGTTGCTTTACTGAGCAAGGCTCCGCAGGAGAGAGCGAATCCATTGTCAAAGAGCCATCTTGTCGAGCCATGGCTGAAACCTCCTGAGTTCCAAACTTTCAAAACCTTGGGATCTGATCAATTTAGGAATTTGGTTTGTGTGTCAGAAATGAAGAGAGTGCCTGAAGTCTGACAGGAAATGGTGTCTGGGTCTCCGTCTGTCAGTTGGTTGGACAAGCAGGGACGGAACTTCAGCTGACCTCGCCAACGGAAGTAATGCTTCGCTGGACTTGACGGACAGGAGAAACGGTTGCTAGCAACGCAACAGCAAAACACAACCGTCTTGAATTCAGGCGGTGGTCTGTATTATGGGTGTCGACGGACCCCGAAAAATGTCGCTTTGGTTCCCCGAGCCACTGACTTCCGTCAAGCCGAACCAGCGAATGTGCTAAGCAGGGGTAATTGTTCAGACGGAGAGACAATCAATGGAGGGCACGTGTACCGACTGCAGCTTTCTGACCACACCTCTGGGCTTAGCCAGTCACATTGGGATGTGTAGGCGGGACGGGTCACAAGGGTGTCCAGGCCCCGCTCGGTTTGGGGGAAAGAAGCTTCGACGTGGAAAAAAAACTCATGGACGGGAGGGCAGACTCCCTATTGGCTGCACCACAACCAGGAGAGGGGTGGTTGGAAAAAGGGAAGCGCTTTTTTGCCACGTCAAGAAGGGGCTGAAACAATATCCGTGCGGTCTCCGTTCTTTGTACTGCCCGGAGGACCTGGTATCCATTTCCCGCCAACATTTGAATGCCACATACCCATGCGTGAGAAGTGGGAGGGAACTGGGAGGGAACTGGCAGGGTGGCACATGTGGTGGGCAGAGAGGCTCATCGATGTCAGAAAGCAGCGGCACCCTATTTGTTGAACTTGTATCTTTGGCAGCTCGCTCCCCACAAATTCTGCCAGGAAAGGCGGAATCCTTGTTGCGTCAGTTTCCCGTCATCTTGGATTGGGAATTACACATTGCGGAATTTAAAGCCGGAAGCCCAAATTGCACAAGTTTTAAAAGGATGACGCGATGGGTTTTTTCTGGCTTGGGTTTTGGCGATTGATTTCGATTTCGGGCATTTCGTTTTTTTCGCCAAACCCAACCAGCCCACGTATTTCGCCCTGGGGGTTGTGTCAGCACCCGAAAGTCCCAAATTGCAGGTGCGCTACTTTTCAAAGCTTGCACACTGCACTTCGTCAAGTTTTAAAAGCATGACCCACGCGCCTCGCAATTTGGGACTCGGGCTTTAAAGCCGGTGGCCCAAATTGTTCATGCTTTTAAAAGTTGACCAGAGGGAGTTTTTCTGGTGTGGGCTTTGGCGAGAGTTTCCGATTTCGTCTAGGTTCGTTTTTTTCGCGAGACCCAGCCAACCCTCGGTTTTCCCCCTGGTGAGTGAATCTGTCTTCGAAAGTCCCAAATTGCAAGTGCGTGACTTTCAAAAGCTTGGACACTCAACTTCGTCAAGTTTTAAAAACTTGACCCTCGCGGCCCGCAATTTGGGACGCGGGCTTTAAGCAGAGACCGACATCTGTCCCTGTAACGAATGGACAACCAACAAGAAAGTGAGGCATCACGTGCGCATAAGATATTCCTTTGTAGTGTTTAATGCCTGATTCAACCCGTCCCTGGTATACTAGGCATACCGTAGTTGGTACATAAATATATTAACATTGTTAATGGCCCTCAATCTGCAATATGTGAATGCCACATGGAATGCAACCGTTGCGGTAGATAAATGCATGTTAGGTTGTTGGAAGAGGGGAGAGGGGGGGAAGATGCTGTTAGAATCTGAAGTAGGTTTGTAGGATCGTACTACTTAGGATGGTAATTTCCTGACGTAGCGGAAGTCTTATATGAGTTAAACCAGTTGTGAAGGCTTTGTCTAGACTTAATAAAGTCTATGTAGTGAAATGTTTCAGGATCAAAATGTCTCTGAAATCAGATATATTATAAAATGACAAACATACAAAATATATAGCTTGAGTAAAGTACCTGTTCGCCTACTGTACTGTGCTATTCTTATCTTGAAACGGTACGTAACTATTCGCGAAGTCTATAGCTACGTGCTGACGTCATCCTAGGTCGCGTAGCGCTTTGCTGACGTCAGCCTATCGGTACTTTACTGTACTACACGAATTTCCTTGAAGTGCTTTACGTCTCGATATTATCTCAACACTCCCCTTCACTTCTAGGAGTTCGGTGTAGTTTAAGCGGTTGTCTCAGAAACGCCGCTGAGCTGGTTGCAGTGATGGAACTTCTGTCGTGTCAGCTTCTTGGTAAGTGAGTCAGCTGCCATGTCATCAGTGGAGCAGTAGACAAGACGCATTCTCCCCTTGTCGATCGCGTCCTTGACGAAGAAGTAACGCAGTGGGATGTGTTTCGTGCGATTGACGAAGCCAGGTTTGTTGGCGATGGTAATCGCACTTTGGTTGTCGCACTGCAACGTAAACTGATTCGGCGTGACGAACTTTGCTTCGTCGAGCAGTTCCTGTAAGTATAGTCCTTCTCGAGTTGCAGCACACGCGGTAACGAATTCTGCTTCAGCCGAGGAAAGTGACACCAGTTCCTGTTTTGATGAGTTCCATGAAATTGGGCCAATCGGCTCGAGACGAAAAATGTAACCTGTTCGTGACCGGCGATCTGACGTGTCACCAGCGTGGTCTGCGTCGACATATCCGCTGAGGTACATTTTGTCGGTCGGTTTTCCTGTGTTGAAAATCAGCCCGACTGTTGGTGTTGCAACAAAATAGTGTAGAGCGCGCTGAAGATCGAGATGATGTTCTTCTTTTGGGCAGCGTAAAAACTGTGCGAGATAACTTGCGACGTACGCAAGGTCGGGACGACACGTGACTGCTGCGAAGAGAAGGCACCCAAGTTGCTGCTGGTACAGTTGTAAACCAGCTACCGAAAGTTTGGTTTGAAAATGTACCCAGTGGATGTAGACCGAAATGGTGTAGCGACGTAATTTGTAGGAATCTTGAAGCACTTAGCAAGTGACTCAGCATACTTCGATGCTGTGAGGTGGATCGAGGAAGAAGTTCGCGAAATATTTAACCCAAGAAATTGGGTTACTTCGGTAGAA